AGTGATGTGCTGGATCCAGCATCAGTTTTGGCTCCTGGGCAAAATTCCCAATATGGGCAGCAGTGTTCTAGAAGCCAGGGAAATGCTGGCAGCCTGATGTTGCTGCCTGTGGCTGAGAAGAGTGTGTTTCCTGGGGTTATTTTTGGTTGAACACCCAAAGGGTTCAGGGCATCTTGACCTGCGTTTGGGTGTTTAGGTGACAGCAAGGAATGAGGCCGATTTCTCTTTTTTAAGTTGTGGTTCTTGTCTTAAGCTGTTGTGAGCAGATCAGGGATATGCCTGCAGCCGTGGCTTGACAAGTCAGAAATGTGACAGGTGTGGAATATGGTTGAAGTTTAGGAACTGTTGTGGTAATTGATATTAAAAATGATGCCAGAAAATGTTCCATTGCAATAATTGCCTGGAGAGTTGAGTATGTTTTTGCTTGTGACATGGTGATTTCTTCATGTCACTCCTGTATTTTTTAATTTTCGTTTAAAAGATCCCGGAGGGTGAGCATCTTTGGAATTTGTGTATGTTGTCATACAAGCGATCAATCAATCAATCGGCTGTTAGTCCTTCTGTGGATTTAAAAGGGGGGGGGGGCAAAAAAAGCTTTAGATCAAGGCGTGTTATGTTCTTACTTTTAATGATCATTTTTAAGGTAATCTGTGCTTGACCATAAGACTCGAGCATATTTTGAATCCACAGCCAAAGCACTCCTACCTTTTAAGGTAAGTGACTCTGTGACTGGGAAATAAGGGTTTTCTTGGGGCTTTTTGGGGGGGGGTGGAGCCATTTGCATTTTTAGCTCCGCAACAACATTTCGGTGTTGAGTTGCTTTACACTCCTTGTTTTTCTTAGCTTGTACATTGGAACTGCTAGAAAGTTTAAACTTCCTAAACTAAGTTCTCAAAATTCGGACAAAAAGTTTGACGTGCACATTCGCAGAATGCCTAGATGAAGATAAAGGAAGTGGAAGGAGGCTGATGGTTTTAGCTGCTTGCTGTACAGTGTTTCCATCATGCCAGCTCATCTTTTCTTATCTCTTTTTTTCTTTGTAAGTAGCATCTATTTGAAGATGTTTTCTAAATCTCTTTTTGAACTATTCTGTGGAAAAAAGTATTTCTTGTCTGTTACAAAAATTTACTAACTTCTTCATTTCATGTGTAAAAATAATACTATTTACTTGATTCTCTTTTGGTGTCGCCACGTGCCATTCATTATAACTGGTACTCTGAGGCAGGAAAAGGGCACTGGCAATCTCATGAATTTACTTCTCACCTTTTCATTAAGTCTTGATGCACATGTTAAAAAAAAAATTGTGTTCCTTTATTCTAGGCTTTATTGTCATGATAATTTTCAGCAGTGAAGTTAGAAAAGGGGCAAAGCTAGGATATATGAGAGATTGTACCCATTTCTGTGGGATTTTTCATTCTGTTTGTTTGGTTTGGGTTTTTTATATGCGTGGGTTGCCCTTTCTTTCTACATTTAGCCCTTTTAGGGATATATGTGTGTGTGTGTGTGTGTATTTTTATTTTAACTTCTTCACAGTGCTTTGCAAGTGAAAAAACATAAATGTGATGGAAGAAGCAGGAATTGAGGCACAGGGTTGCTTGCAGCCTTGCTCTGGACCGTATCACTTCGCTAATAGTATCGTTGTCTGAAGCTGAGGGACAAACTGGAGGGTGCCGGACTGCTTTGGGGGGAATGGGTCTGAAGCTGGGAAAGGTTGACATTGGTTTCCATGTTGTCAGGTCTGGCTTTGCATCTCCTGTCTTTCTGAACTGAGCGGCTGCCGATTCTTCCGCATTCTGCAAAGGCAGGTGAAGGAGTGAGATGGGAGCTTTACCACAAAGTGGGTGTTACTTTGGGATCCCTCTGGAATGGCTAGGGAGCGGAAACACTGTTAGCGAGCCTTTCTGCTGAGCCCTCAGGCTTTGGGGTGGAAGCGAGCTGGAAGCTCTGTGGCAGTCCCAGTGTATGCAGAGGTACAGCAAAGGAGTCTCCTATTGGAAACAGAAGTGAAGCCCCCGGCAGAGGTGGTCCTGTTGAATGATGCTGAGGCTGTTACTCCTGCGTCATGTGGGGGCACGTGGTGAACTTGTAGCATGTTGGTCACTTTAATGACCTGTCTTACTGAATGCAGCACACCTGTGATTTGTTGTAGCTCTGTGGGCTCTTATTCACTGTTGTTGTGGTTAATATTACTGCAAGAAATCAGGCAAGAGTCCAGTACTATTACTATTGAGGGCTTTTACCCTGAGTATTTCTTTTTCTGTTTCTGTCTGCTATGATGGAGGTGTAAATCTCTTGCCTGAGCTGCTACAAATCCACTTCTCAAATAGAACTTTTAATTTTATTTTATTTTTTTTAGTTTTGGTTTGGTTTTTTTTTCTTCTGTGGAGTTGTTGGCAGAGGTGTGCTTTCTGTTCTGAAGTTTTTGTTACACTTGCCATTTCTGTGTAAGCTGCCTTTGAAGTAGCCATCTCCTCTCTGCTTTCCCTGTTGCCCAGGCAGAAGTCCAGGCTTTCTGGGTGTTCCCTCCTGCAGTTGGCTCTCTCAACCTCATGTTTGACCCTGCTTTAATTGAATGTTCATGTTGTGCTCTGCAGATAGCCGTCTTTAGTACAGAGTGAAAAGGTTTTATTGCTACATGTTTATATAGACTGTAAGAGATGAGAATCGCCTGCCATAAGCTTTCAGCACCTTTTAACAACTGCTCAAAAATTCATCTGAACATAAAAACAAAGCAAGCAGCAAGCACTTGCATTTCTTGTTAAGACATGGAAGTGAGGAATACTGCTCAGCACACCTAGATGCATCTTTTCATTGTCTCCCAAGGTCTTGTAACATGCCCGATAGTCTGTAAGACAAGGCTGCTTGGAACTGAAGACTGCCAGCAGAGAAGGTGTTGCCATGGCCAGAACCTGCTCCTTTTTAGGGAGGGTTATATGGAGGCTGAGTTTGGCTGCTGGAGTACAAGCTCTCAAATAGGCAATACCATTTCATTTGCTCTTGATTCAAGTCCATGCTTTTAAACTTCATGAGTTGGCAAAATGAAAGCAGTCTCCTAGCTCTCCCCTCACTATCCACCAGTTAACTTAAAGTCTGGTGCCCCCAAAACACGTACAAAGACAAGCCCTTCTGGCCCAAGTGCCTTCTACCTGTTAAACAACTTTTGCCTAAGAGATTCATGGCAGTTTATTCATCTGACCAGTGCCTGCAGAAGCCACCTTACGTTGCTAGCTGGAAGTGAAGTCCTGTGGTGGTTTCGGTATTTTGTTTTTGATGTCGCTCTTCTGTTGGACACTGGTCCTTGTATGTAGCGTGGCTGCCTTGCCTCCCCAAGGTTGCTTGAGTTGTGAAAAGGTGAATTAATGTGAAATTGTTATGTAATGGGAATTTATAGCTTGCTTAAGTGATAAAAATGACACCTTCTGATGTCCTGTCCTGTTGACCACTGTGTCTGTCTGTCCTACCACCAGGTTAAATACCTGACTCAGAAATTCTGTATCTACGTGCTTGAAAACTGCACGCATCCCTTCCTTTTTCAACTTCCAGGAGTGTGGGCCATGTCCTTTTATAACAGATAGGTCAAAAGGATTGTTTTAAACTTTGAGTGATCATTGCATTTAGATTCAGTAAACTCACTCTCTTAAATATAAAGGCTGCTGAAAATTTCCACTAAATTTAACACTTGTGCTGCAAAGAATTCAATTACATTCAAAGCCTTTGGACAGGCTTCTCTTATTTGGAAATCTTGTTTATCCCATGGTCTTTGGATAATCTCAAGACCTGTTGTACAGTAACTAATGCGGAGGGTTTATCAAATGGGATATTTAGCTGTGTTGCTTTTTTTAATGGCATGTGGTTTTGTTTAAGAAATGAAGCTGCTTAGGTTTCAGGTGTGGCCAGGCTGGCACTTCTAATACTGCAGGGATTTCAGGCTCAGCTGTCTGTAACCTACTTGTGCCTACCTTCTGCTTTAAAAAAAAAAAAAAAAAAAAAAAAGTTGTCTATTCTTGCAGAGTCATTTTTTACTTCTTTTCTCTAATGATCTGCTCATTCAATCCATTAAAAAGATAGGGGTGATTTTCATTTACTGTTATTAATTGTAAACTGTTACTGGTTCTTATTTAACAAATGTAACATTGAATATTATAGAATGGTAGGACTTATAAGAATGTGTATGGATTTCTGTTGGCACTTGTTTAGAGTATATAGCTGATCACTATTTTGATCTTTTATTAAGTTGCGGTGCAGAATTTTCTTCTTCCCTGTTCTCTGTATGCATTACCTGTTCAAAAATCAATTTCAAAAAGCTCAGTACCTTTTTTTAGTGGAACTGGTACAGAGCCACGGAAGTATTTCTCAGTGATACCCTTGATCACTTCTCAAACTTCTGAAAACCACATTTCTTGTGAACTAAGGGGTGATCAGGTGATTTAAATTAAGTGACATCAGTCACCATTTTCTGTGATTGTCCCTATTTAAAAATCTGCCTTTTGTTTTGCATGGATACCTTTGAGTTTTTTTGCCTTCCCCCCCCCCCCCCCCCCTTCTTTTAAATGTGAGTTATATTTCTAAATCCTTGCCTTGCTGTGCATCCACCTTATTTCCTGGCCTCCACCCTTCTCTCAGCTAGCGACTGCCACCATGGCAACTCTTCCTCTGGCTGAACAGATGGGACATTGAGTCTCCTCCGAGAGCAGAGCGCCGCTCACGCCCTGCCGGGAATCAGCTGGCAGGTTGTAATCCTTTCTGCAAAAATTAAAGCAAGGTCTGCCCAGCAGAGGCATGCTGGTTTTGAGGGTGCTCAGTTTCACAAATAATACTGTGGTCTAACAGTTGCTTGCAGAAATAAAGCGTAGTGGCTGAACTGGGATTACTCCTATGCCTGAAAGCTCTTCAGAGGAGCTTTGTCTTTAGTGCAAAGAGCTTGGCGTCAGTCAGCAGCCGGTGATTTTCTGGTAGAATGGTTGCCATCAACTTTTTTTTTCTCTTTAGGATGCGTCAGGATGAAACGCCACAGGCATCTAAGCACCAGTGACAGTTCAGACAATGAGAGTAAGTAATACCTACTAGTTTTTCTTTGGTCTATCACCCCCTTGTGGTTTCCTTCTGTGGTTTGAGGGCAAACTGTTTCACCTCTTATAATTAAAAAAAAATGTTTCTTGTTTGATTTCTCTTTGTGTTCTGTGGTCTTTGGTGTTCTGAATCCCGTTACAGGAGGAAAATGAGGTGGAGGATCCTGCAGACCTGGGGGGAGTTGAGTTTTGAGTCTACTTAGAATTTGAAGAGAAACTTGTATGTCTTTCACTTCCAGATTTGAGAAAAAGAAATCTGTAATTCCAGAGAAATTTTACTGTCCAGGGTCCTATTTTGTAATTATTTTTTTTTTAAAAGGAGTCCTGTTGTCTCTTGTTGTGCGCAGCCTCAACTTTAAAATTACTGGGGGTGGCAAGCTATTTGAGCATTGATATATTAGAGTTATATACAAGGTAGAGTTATAACCAGTGTATTGATTGTTGTGTTATCTTGTACTGGTTCTTGATCTATTCCACTTTGGTCTGTTACACAATTTAATAAAGTTATATTTTAAATGTTCCTTGGCACATAGCTGCCTGAGGTTGCATCTTCCCATTTTATCTGCCAAAAAAAACCCTCTATGGCAGGGTCTTGTTTGTTTCTTATAAACCTGTGCCTATCTAATAACTCTATACATAATGATGATTCATCGTCATATTCATTGCGAGTCATCAATGTGTCCTGTACTGAAATAACATTTTTCCCCAGAAATGTCTAGACGTCACACTACGATTTTTTGCATCTCTCATCAGCACGCTTTAGTATTGTTGTGGTTTTGTTTGTTTTTAGCACTTGCAAACTCTGCCCTTGGTTTTGCTCCTCCTTCCACTTTGTTAGAAAGGAAATGAAGGAAAGTGGTCTGCCTGCTCGTTTCTGTTTGCTCATGCTTGTATTGGGCAGAGCAGAATGTACCCATAAACTCAATGTGCTGTGGTTTTACAAAGAACGAGTGGAACAGGAGGAGCTGTAATCAAGCCTACAGACTGCCTAAGAGTGTTTTGCCCACGTCTTGTCAAAAAATTATGATAATTGAAGAGATTGGTGTGCCTTGTGTTTTACTGAAAATTTAAATGAATTGAAACGAGCTATAATGGTCCTTTTTTTTTTTTTTTTTTTTTTTAAACAGGTCCTTCCACTTCCTTTTCTTCTTGTTCTAAATACAGGAGCAAGTCAAAAACACCAGCAAATGAACAGAAGAAACCTGCTGAGGTAAGAACCAGGGTTAAAGATTGGTCGCTGGTAGTTTTTTGTCATGTAGTTTTAATGTTTCTAAGCCTTGAAATAGTGAGCTTTGAACTAGTGCCAGTGAGTCCTTTTGTCACCTGTCAAATTCTTCGTGAAACTGTATTTTCCCCACTGTGCGAGTATTTTATAGGAGCTCTGGTATTTGATGTCCCAAAATGACTTAATGGCATTTGCAGACAGTAACATGTAGTTCTTTCTTCCCCTGAAATTTAGTCTCATTTTGAAATTGAAAAAGCTGGGATAGTCTTATGATTTGATGCCACAGAAAGAAGTGGTTTGTGTGTATGTGTATGGGAAGGATACTTTATTTCTGCATTAGGATAAACCAGTGGGACACTTAAGTAGGCAGAATATGTATCAACAGTGCTTACTCATCTTCTGCCACTTTCTCACTCTTGGCTTTTTACCTTCAATAAAGCTTTTTTACTGTGCCATCCCCACCTGTTAGGACCTCTACACGTATCACCACTGTCACTGGATCTGTACTCACCAATTGAATAAATTGGCATTTATGCACAATCCAGTGCTTAAATCTGTCCTGTCAGCCATTCCACTCATAGCCCTTTTGGGGGAGGATTTGTTGGCTGCCTTCTCCAGATTTGATGCTTGCTTTCTTAAGGGCTGAAGTCAGATAATAACTGCAAATGGGAGAAATGTTTCTTGTAGCTAATTCCCCTTACATACTATCACATTCCCTCCGAAGGAGTCCTTCAACATGCTAGTATGACTGTTGATGCCTCAGGGTACTGAAAAAAAGGTTGACAAAACCCACTTTGCTTCTCTAGATTTTGAAGCTGAGCATTATGTCCCAGAAATAATTTTGTGTACTATACCAGCAGCTTTCTACCTGCTTAGATACTACTGTGAGAGGTTGTATAAACTGTATAGATTGTGCTCATACAGCAAAAGCTATTCAGCAAACATTCTTCATGCTATTTTTCTAAATGCTGCTAACTAGATGAGTTTGGTAAGAACAAGGTAAATGTTACAGAACATGTCCTTTCTTTGGAAGCTTAATTTTTATCACAAGTTAATTGAAGAAGACTCATTGATTCATTTTTCAAAAGAGAATCTTGCATGAATGTTTCAATGAAAGCAAAACTGACCAGAACTAGCTACATAGTGTTTTATTCACAGCTACCAAGAAGGTTAAGAAAAGCTTAGTATGCTTTTTACCTTTAAAAAGTTGGTCTGAGGATTATGGTTCTATAAGAATTTTAATCTTGAAACAGCTTGTGGCTACTGAGGTCTTGTAATTGTTCCTCATGTTTGCCTAGGCAGTAGCTTTGTTACTAGCTGAGCTGGGCAAATGGGAACTGAAACACATGCACTGCCAGACTTGTTGCTGTTTCAAGTACACCTCAGTGCTACTCCCTAACCAATCCCTTCTTTCTGCCCAGCCACCCAGCTTTCTTCTTGTATCTCTTCCTCTTAGGGATTGTCCTATAACTGTTTTCTGTGCCTTTGCTCCATTCTATCTTTATGTGCGTATGTACATTATAAACAATAATTATGAAGATGTGGTCCATGTATCTAGCATAAAAGTGTTCTGTTTACGTAACTTCTAGGAATCAAAACGAGCCGTGTTTTCAGTTCCTCCTCTTGAGATAATCTTTGCTGCTTTCTACCTGTTCTAAGACAAAATTTTGAGCCCTTTAATGCTTGAAAATGTGAAACTTTGAAGAACAAAATCTGGAATATACACTTGCAATTAAAAAAGTGTGTTTCATAACATCATCCTTCCAGTAATACTGGCATCTTTTTGTCATCTTTCATTTAAGATCAACCTCCGGGGGGGGAGAAGGAAAGAAATCTCAAACCTTAGAATACGTCCTCTTCTGGAGCAGTGTCCCAAGTACAATATTTAAAAGAACCCTGGGGAAAAAAAAAAGTAAAGTCCTCTGGCTCTGGGAAAGGGAATGAAAGGGAAGTTGACAGTAATAATCTTTACCGCTTGTACGTAAGACTCTTGGCCATCCTTCCAGTTTTTCCTTTCGTTCTGCTAGAAGCAAGCACTCCTTCCAACCCCTTGAAAAGCATATGCTGGAGAGTGTATTACATGAAATGCTGTTGTCAGCAGAGCATTGAAATTGATTATTTATGCACCAAGTGGTGACAAGGGTGTAAAGCAAAGACTGAAAAGAGACCCCACCACACACCCTTCCAAAAATCATGTTGTAATTCCACAAGTTTTTTGTAGTAATAGTTGTCCAGTATCTATTAGGTAGAAATGTAAAATTTCAGGCTGACAGCATCCCTTTAGCAAGGACTCTCTTTAACAAGTTGGCATTGCTCTCCTTTCATTCACCTCTGCTTGCCAGGCAGCAGGCTGTTTCTTGAGTTAGTGATGCAGAAAATCTAAAAGGTCAAAGCTATAAATAGATGTTTGGGAATATTTTTGCTCGTGGTCTTCATACGTTAATTTTTCTTTCATGCCAGTAAGCCTGGCTTTCTCAATTAAATTGTATGTGAATAAATAGGCTTTTTCCCACTTCCTCGACCATCTCCAGCCCAACCCAAGTACCTGGGTTCTCTCTCAAAATAAAAGCTCAGGTTTGGTACTGTGACCAAGAAGCAAGTTAGTGTATCTGTCCGTTGCTTCACAGGACTTGTCTGTATGTGCCATGGTCCTCTGTGGTTGCCTATAAAAAATGACGAGTGGCTGCAGTTGAGGACTGCTCTGCGTTGAATTGCCTCCCCGGTGCTTCAGAATCGAGATGGGTGTGGGGATGGCCTCAGTGGAGAGAGGTCATCTGGTGTTACCGTGGGGCAAAGGGGTGCAGTGTTAAGAGTGCAAATGTCAAAGCCCGTTCCCAGAGTCTGACTTACCCCAGGGCTTTACATCAGTGCAGAAGGGACGTTACTGGGTTGGACCTGGGGTCTGCTTACCCCATTCTACTCCTTGGAGAAGAAGGTGAGAACAAGGCAAGCCTATGACGACGCTTCTTCAGACCATGGTGTTTCTCTGCGTAATTTCAAAAGCAAGACTGTGGTTCTTTCTTGGTGCTGCCCTTCTGGATTACAATCTATCACAAACTACTGAAATGGTGACTTAAAGCTAATCGGATAGCAGACTTTTTATCATTTACTTTGAATAAACAAATTATGTTAAGTTTACAGGCACACCAGTCATACCAATTTTTCAGACCTTTATGATGATGTTGGCCACATGCCATTCGTGGTGTTGCCCCTCATGGATTTAAACGTAGACAGGAGGGGTTTGCAGGCCTAAGCAATAGGTTGTGTGGGAGTAGCAGGGTAGGAGGCATTTGGATGTCTGGCTCAGTGTGAAGCCTGTACTTTGCAGTTTCCTGTCTCTGTGGAAGCTGCAGCAGAAAATGATGGCAGGGTAGTTGGAATAATTTTTTCAGGGAAAACCTATTAGCTGGACCATCCTGAATGACTGACCGTTTCTTTTCCCTTAGGCTGGTGGGGTCACAAAAGAGCCTAAGAGATCTTTGTGACACTCAAGCTTGTACACGTTTTTTTTCAGTTCTCTCTGCCTCTTGAAACTGTAAAGGAGTTAAGTTAGCATTGTGCTTTTTTTTTTTTTTTTAACCCTTCCCATGTAAGATTGCAGTGTTTTACCTCTCTTTGCAAACAGGGATTTGAATCTCACAGCAATAGTAGTTTTTAATCCCTGTTTGCTGCTAGCGACAGCTGTGTTTTCATGTGAAATGTAGTTTGTCTTCCACAAGTAAATGGCCTGCTTTCATTACTTGGGTATGTGAAACTTTTTTTAGTGGCATTTAACTGCCACATAAATTGTAGGTCTTGATCTTAGAGGAGCACCCTCTAAGACTAGACTCTTGGCAGAAAATGTCTTTTTGCAGGTTGAAAGTGGTTGGGTTTGTTCTGTGAATGAATGGGCAACGTGGTTAAATAGTATTGCTTTGCATGTACCGTGCATAGTACAATAGGAGACTGTTACCTTTATGCACATGCTTACCTTAGAAAATTCTGAATTAACTTGGACATCTGTACAGGCTTCTCAAGACCTCTGGCGAATGTGCCTTATGCATTTCAGTGAGCTGCTTTTTAGCCTGCTTGGGTTAGTTGATTAAAAAAAAAAAAATTTGCAATACTTTTATGTAAGTCAGAGGTGCAACCTCATTGGTTATTTTTATGATCTTTTTTTGCTTTGAGATACTGTCTCAGACTATTTGAACTCTTTAGCAAGAGGTGATCCAAATGCATAAGGGCGTGGAGAAGCTTGCTTGTGAAAAGGCTGAGCTATTTTACCTTTGGAAGTGAATGAGCAGGCATAACAGTAAAGTATGAATGGTCTGGAAACAACAAAGCTAGAGCTTCAGTCCTGCCTGTCCTTGTGATGGAAGAATTGGGGAGGAAAGGCGGGGCGGGGGGATGAATGAGGCCAAAAGTTAGGAAATCTGTAGCGATTAAAAGGATATCCTTTCCATGCATCATGTAATTAGACTGTGAAGCTCATCTGCTGCAGGAAGTTGTTGAGACTGAGAATTAAACAAGATTAAAAAAGGAATTGGACAGATGATAACGAGTACAGATTTTTCTAAATATCTGTATAAATTAATACCATTTTAAAAATTGATTGTTAGGATTAATCCCCAAATCCGAAGCTTATGCCTGATTAGCAACTAGAAGGAAACTTGATGTGTTCTTGCACATTCTTCTGGCTCATGAGATACTGTCGGAGACATGATGTTAGGTAGGGTTGATTTAGTGTCTGATTTCCTGGCTTTTCCTATACATGCTTGTAAAGGAGACTAGGCAAGTACAATATTTCATTTGCCTGAGTCCTGGATAATCCATAAAAATAGTTTTAGGGAGTAGGGTTTTGAACATTAGGATTTACTGCAGTGTATGTCCAAATTGTGTGGATGTTTGAGAACTACAAATGTAATGTTACACTTATTCCTTTCTGTCCCAGCTTTTTTAACATCTTAAGCTTTTCATTCCAGTCAGCATACATGCCTGGAACTGTA